AACAAAAGAGTTTGTAGCCTTTTTTGATGTCTATACAAATTCTTTCCTGAAATTGACAAGTTGAGAAAAATGGTTTCTTGTCTCACCATCTCGTGATTTTACTGAGCATAAGACCGCATTACAGATAATATGTATATGATGGTAATGTTCTGAATTAAATTAAAGAAAAAAAAGGGATAATTCTGTCAATGCATTTAGATTATCACAAAGGCAAACAAATAAATCTACACTAAAAACATGAAATAAAAGGAATACAAACAACAATAAGACAACTAGCATTACTTTTGAAATATTGACAGAATGCGTAAGAAAAAAATTGTTCTCATTTTCCAGTCCGCACCTTGCGCGTAGCCGCTTCCTTTATGAGGAATGCGAATATCTTACAATTCTGATAAGTATTTCTTAAGATTAATAAGGAGAAGAAAAGATTAATTTGTTTGTGTTTTATTCTGTATAAAATTCTCAATCTGATAGTATTAATTAACATGATATATTAAATTATTTGAATTAGTCCTAGACTTCCTAGTAGAAATTCTTTTAATTTAATGTTGCTAAAATTTGAAGAGTCATTGGTATCAAGAATATCACCTCATTAATCACTGAAAAAAAAAAATGTTTTGCTCGGCTCATTGCTTCTCCTTTTAAGATAAAATCAAGACAAGCATTTGTAGTCTTCTTCTATGTCTAGATCATAATATTTACCACAAATGAAGTCTAAAGAATAAAAATGGATGTTAAAATCTTTTCTAAAATTTAGAAGTGGAGATATATTATTTCTTTTCTTATAGAAGTGGAGAACATGGATGAAGCAACTTATAAAAGAATTTAGTCCTAATTGCCAACTAATTTATGTCGCACTTAAAACAGAATTAAAGTCAGACCATACCGCTTTAGTATTGACGTGGTATTTTAAATGTTTTAAAATTAACTCTAGCAGGCATATTTTCAAATTAAAATTGCTAAAGTTAAAGAGTCTTGAGTATCAATAATTTCACCTCGTCAACCATACTCGAAAAGGTCTTTGCTCATTGCTTCTCCTTTTGAAATAAATACTCAAAATGGTCTTATTAGGCATGTTAGTTGGGTTCAGTTTTCAATCCAAACCCAAGACATTTCGGTAGAGTGGATCCAGTTTTTCATATATAGACCCAACCCAGATCCAAATCCTATAAGAAAGTCATGGATCTAGGTAAAATATGATGATTTTATATTATCCATACCCAACTTGAAACCCATACTAAACCCATGCATATATAATTAAATTATATATATTAGTAAATTTATAAAATAATCGAATATTCTGTGATGATTGGATCGAATATAGTATGACTTCATGATTTTTTTTCCAAACTAATTTTATTTGTCATTGTCATTGGTATAAACTTCTTCAGGAAAAGGAGAAAAATTAAAGGTAAACAAATAAAATATTTGATGTGGATACAATTGAAACTTTAAAAATAAATAGAGGTAGTCAACAATAGTTCTTCTTTTTGAGTTCATAATATTGCATTCAACTTCTTGAATATTAATTTTATTATTGGAAAATAAAAAATTGGATTGCATTTATATTATTTTTGAACTCTATATATTTTTAATTAGTTTAGTACATTTAGAAAAATATAATGGATATCCATTGGATATCCAAATCCATAAAAGTCTGGGTTTGGATTTACTTTTTCAAACCCGTAAGGGTTTGGGTCTGAATTTAAATCTAACTAAATTTAATGGTTTGGGTCTGGATCAAAAGGATGCAACCAAGTCCTATATATTGACATGCCTAGTATTACTCATTGCTTGTCCTTTTGAAAAAATTTAGACGAAATCATTTGTAGCCTTCCTTCTAAACTTGGCATTTATACAAAATGAAATAAAGCTGGATGTTATCATCGTTCTGAATATCTTTTCCTTTACATCTCACAAATCTGTTGAATATATCAATTTTTCATTTTCTTTATTTTTAGTACACATCAAATATAAATGATAGTAAATGATGGTGTGGGGAGGAGCGGGAGAGTAAAAAAATTAAGAAGGATAATAACTAAAAAAATGCTGGAAAAATAAAAGAAGAGAAGAGAAGGGAAAAAAACATGGACGAAGCAAAGAGGGAAATTGAGAACCAATTTATCTCATTTCCATATTAATGTGGCCAATATTATAGTAGTATGAAGCAAAAACAATTAATTGTCTCATTTGCTAAGATATTGAAGTCAGAGTATAACAGCACAGTGGCCAACAAATCTTAGACTACATGAAGCAAATTATTAGAGCAAGCAAGGGAGTTTTTTTGAATCTTGAAAAAAAAAAAAAAAAGAAGAAGAAAAAACCCACACACTTCAAGAAAGGTATTGTTAATTGTGCTGATCGTAGCTACAAAAACTGATCGATTCCCAAGTCTTCCAGCTAAAATCATCAACATATCACATACAATCCTGCCTAGAAATTTTACTTTTATCTTTCCTCATTTACATGCCCTAAAAATTTTCTTGTCCCACAGAAATGTCACAAGAAAAAATTGACGATTTAGCCACAAACAGTGAGACAAAAATAGCACATTTTAGCCATAAGCATCTTCTTCAGCTCGTAGGCGTAGAAGGTAGAGTTGACATATTCATGCATTTTCATTTTTATTTCTTCCTGTCCAGTGCTGTTTATTGTTTAAAAGAAATCATGCATACTTTCCAGTGTTTCAAAAATGGAATGATGATCCATGAATGGTCTCACTTATTTACAATGTTTGACATAAATTTGATGTTCTTATTACAGCACCAATAATACAGGGAAGAACAAACCACTTGAAGATCATTATGAGATGCCAGCACCATGGTGGGCAGATGTGTCTGAAGATTTTTTCAGGTCATTCCTTTAAATTTCATCATTAAACAAGGCAGAAACGAGTGCTCGTACGATTTATCGAGACAAAAAAAAAGGCATTATTAATGATTAAATTTGATGAAATAGCTCGGAATCTAAATTTTAAATAGTTTGGTGATTACAACCAGAATTTGTACAGTTCAGTAGTCAAAACTCAACGTTTCCAAAAGTTCAATAGTTATCAGGATAATTTGCTTCCGCTCCCTATTACACTTTGCTGAGTGCCGCTTCTTTCTGCACCAGAGTTGTGCCAACTTACCAACAGAATTGAAGCACCAGAGTCATTCAGAGCACCAACTTTCACTCAGAAAACTGGAAAATCAGTGCGACTACTTTTATTGTGATCTTTGTCATGAACTGCAACGCGTTTTTGTTTGAATGTAAGTCCTGTTAAGTTTCGCATTAATCTTCTCTGTGCAGTCCTAGCTACCGCGTTTCATTATTCATCAAAGCCATAATCAACACTTTAAGAAAAAGGAAAGGAAAAAGATAGTACTGCTAAATTGTGTGATGCATGTGGGGAAGACAGATATGGCCTCAGGTGCAGCTGTATTGACTCACTGTTCGTATTTCTCTCTGCATTACCACTGTGCCATCTCACCCCCTGTAGTCACTTACAGATGGGATGTACATTGCCTTACCTTGACGTCTCCCCCTTTCAGAGACCATCCAAATGAGTTTTACTGCGAGATTTGTGAAGAAGAACTGCATCCCAAGCATTGGCTCTATCACTGCAACGAATGCGATCAATCTTTTCATCTTTCTTGCATCCCTGGACTCGGTGAGGATCGTTTTATCAAGTTCGGAAAGACACTTGAAGTCGGCGATCACCAACACCTTCTCACATCAGTCAGGAAGAGCCGATGCAAGTCCTCCCTTACAAATGTGCTTGTGATGTACCCCCTAATCCATTTAGCCGTGATCGTGTCGGAAACGTCGTGGTTCTTGTCATCCGACTTTGGCAGACTTGACTCCGACGAGTCATAACAGGAACGGAGCTTGCCGATCCGATACCTTTTTAGTTACATGACGTGTGTGGGAGCTTTCTTTTGGGATTTTCTTCTCTTTTTTCTTTCTTCTTTTTTGTTAAAATGGTGAGTTTTCCTTGTGTTTTGAAGATAAAATAAAGTTTTTTTTTTAAAATTTTATAATTACCAGAAGAGTCCCGGCTAAACTTGCTGTAGCACCGGAAGAGCCATTTCCTCTACTCTGAAGAAGACGAGTCCTCTCTGTTTTATGAGTATCGAATTTACACCATTAGGCCAAGATTTCACTCTATTTACTAAGAATGCTATATTATTTTATTTTAGTCGTGTTACGATTCCTATGAAGACCATGGTTCGAAGTCTCGGCCGATAGGCCGAGTCGTCTCGGTTTCGGCCCCTACCGATACGATACCATGACGAAACGATACCATAACGAAACGATACCGAAATACTTGACTCGCCGAGAAATCGGTCGAGTCGTCACCGCGACGAATTGACTCGGCCGAGTCACTCCGAGTTATTCCGAGTCAAGACGAGAAATCAGCCGAGTCACACCGTAACGGATTGACTTGGCCGTTTCTTTTGCTATTTTTTAATTATTTTTATTTAGCATACTTTTTTATATTATTAACAATTTTTAGAATATTAAATACTTTAAAATTTGCGTCTCACCGAGACCGCGACTGATATGGAACGTTCCGGACCGCGCTTTCAACTTTACATATGTTCATCAGCTTATAGTATAAATTACCATCATCTTTAGTCTTGATTTCTCGTGATCCATCTTTAAAGGGGCCTATTTAGCTCTAATCTAATCTAATCTGGATGGTGCTTTTTACTCATTGAAATAGAAGCCTTATGGCCACCTTTCTCCTAAACGATTACTCCAGTCGTAACCATAATTTTCCCATCTGCAATGGCGTATATTAGCACAATCATGATATTGGCTGAAGGTGTCGAAGTCTAATTCTTCACTCTAGTCTAAGTTCTTACTTTCACTAAAATTGATAAAGAAGCTGATTATATACATTTAAACCCAAAAAAAAAAAAAAAAGAAAAAGAGAGAGAGGTGATAATACCATATAACCTATAAGACATGATCCAGAGACAACGAATTATCAACACATTTGGGTACCGGTCTCATGAGTCCAAAGAATAACCCTATATATATGATTCAAATCAAAACAAAAATGCCATTAAAATAATTACATCTCAAAATCTTGTATTCTATAAGCCCTTCGTAACTGCATCTGGGCTTATTCCACCCAAAATTTGACCTGTACATCAAAAAATACAATCATATCATACTACTAGCACATATAAAAGCTAAACTACAGGCTACAAATTGAACAAAAGAATGCAATTTTCTCTCTTCTTCTTCTTCTTCTTCTTCTTCTTCTTCTTTTCCCTGCTTTCCCTGTCGGCGCCTTTCTCATCACAAATTCCCATTTAAAGGAAGCGTGCAGCATGACAAAAATTTTACTCAATATCCGACCACGCTATTTACCAAGTTCTTTTCTGTCAATGGGCAAACCTCCCTAAACCAATTCAAACTTTTGATGGAAAAGAGAGAGACAGTGAACACCTCTCGTGAATGAAAGGAACTGAGCTTCCATCATATACTTTGGGGTTCTCATCCGTTGACAAGCAAAGGCGGCAATTTTGGACGATCAGAACTTATTAGATTCACCCACAAATTTGCCAGTTTGAGGAAACACTGTTCTTCGTTCCAAACTACCATTGTCATTCCTAATTATCGCAATCCGAGAGAGAAAACAGAGTCAGATCAATGAACAATGAACAAAATTGATAGTAATAACCTGCAATAAGTTCTATCTATCTACTACAAATAACAACTTAGCCAGCTGCACGAAATCTGGAAATGCAATGTAAACGACCATGTTTCCAAAATTGAACCCTAAATCCCATTGGATTTAGTGGAGATCAAATGTCAAATTTTTTTTATTTTTTTTTAACTCTACAAACACTTACAAATGTCAAATGGCAGAAACTGTGACAAAATTTGTTTACCTGGAGCCACTGTTTGAGGCATAAGTGATAGCCAACACAAGGATTCGTGTTGAATAAAAAACTTATTCTGAAGAGCAAATGCATCAAGATCACAAAGATACTTGATTGAATCCAGCAAGGATGCAAGACTACCATGACCTTTAGCAGGAGTAGAATCTGATATAATTGCTAGGGCTTCTTCAAGGCCTGAAGCAGACCATGAAGAATGACATTGATCTAGGAGTGAATAGATGCTTGATGATTCTACAGGAGTCGACAATATCCACGGTTTATAAAGCTTGGCTGTAGCTCCAAGTAATACAGCAACCCTGTAAATCTCACCAAGGGCGATAACAAATGTTTTACCTGTTATGATAAGCAATGATGTTATCAAATTATGGCACGGAGGACTACAGTATCACATGTGCATGCATATTTTATTCAAGAAAGAAATAGGACATTCTACCATTGGCAACTATTATAACCAAACAGCTTCAATAATAACCTAACAGGTATAGCAAGTAACAACAATATAATACCTTGAGGCTCAGCAAGTATCTGGCTTTGAATATTCTTTTGCAATGACTGCCTCCATAACTGAGCACCATGCTGCAGCTCTTGAGCACAAATGTTAATCATCTTAGACCACACAGAAACATAAGTATGTTGTTCATCCAATGACCCCATCATCAGAATCTTCAGCATTGTTTTCACATGACCTATAAGTTCCATAGCTGATTTAGCATCCTTCTCTACCTATAAACCAAAATATTTCAAAATAATAAATAAAAGTCCAAAAAAAAATGTTGATCTTACTAGCAACAAGTAAATCTCCTTTTTTTATTCGTTTTTCAAAGCTAACAAATTTGACCAAGTCACCCAAGAACAGAAGGAATGCCCAATATGTAATTCAATCTAAAGAAAAGAAGGATCAGTCCAACTTGAGCTCTGCAGGCAGCCTAAAGAAACTGTGCATGCATGCACCATCTAATTTACAACTACTCAAAAGAGCGAAAAAACACATAAATGATTGTGAGGTCATGTCTATATGGCGTCAATAATGACTTGCTCGAAATTGCTTAAAGCAATTTTGTCACATCTCACTTTAGCTGAGGTAACACACTAGCAATCATAAACTTCGTGCAAGATAAACACAATGCTTTTGCTTTTTCTGATGTCTTCTAGCCCTTTTTCATAATGATTCTGACATACTGGACAGAATGTACCGCATAGAATCTTAGGAAGTATACAGACTTTCTGCAGCATATTGCTAATGAATGAACATTAAGTCTTAGAATCTTCCCCAGATATTAATTATGCAAGTTAAATTCATACTGCACCACATTTTTGGTGCAATTCTAAATAATCTCCGCATTTTCAAAATGGAGTATTTTACTCTTACTCATAGAGTTAAAAATCTGAGCAACTTATACATTTACAAAACTAAAAAATGCATGTAGTCCACACGGCCCCACCTCATGAATTCTTTCTTTCTTTAAAATATCCTGCAGTGTGAACTTTCACAGCTTTCGTCAAGTTAGTTAGCTATTGTACATCAACTCCCATTTTAAGAAAAACAAGAAAATACACGCACACACTTGCCATAGATGTCTGAAGAATGTTTCAGATATTCAGGAAGAGAATGCATACCAATGACAGTCTTCTTTGCAAGTCATATTCGGTCTCCAGAACACAAAACCCTGGTTCTTGCAAAACTTCAAGAAAATCATGGAGATTACTCTGACTTTGTGTACTATTACCCAAGTGCTCTTCCTTAATAATAGCATTCGCTTGGCCAAGCTCATCACAAGCCATCTAGAGTATAAAAGAAGCATGATACTTCAGTTGAAAAATAACTAGTTAACAATCACACAGAAAGAGCAAGAAATTAGGAACATAGCAATTATTAACATGAATTCTACTCACAGGTTGAATACAAAAATAGTAAGTTGCATGTGTTAATAATTTGCACCTCAAGAAAGTGATTATAAGGACCAAGATGAGAACCAAAAAGCACCACACTACACAAAGCAAAGGTATGAAAAACAATGGATAAGCTTAAGCTTGATACTGACGTTTACCACTGAAATTAACAAGTATAAATGCAATTAATCCAGTACTGAACAATCACAAGCCTACAAGCTCCAGAAAGTTAACTAACAGCCCTTAAATATACACAAGATAAAGTTGCTGATACTATTAAACTGACCTATCATCACAAAGCAAGCTGTATGAAAGAACTACTTGATATGAGATTGCCTCAAATAACACTGCATGAAAAATACAGTACCTTGGGGCATTCAAACAATAGGAAACACCTCAAACTTTGACCTTTTTATTTTTATTAAACTGACCTATCATCACAAAGCAAGCTGTATGAAAGAACTACTTGATATGAGATTGCCTCAAATAACACTGCATGAAAAATACAGTACCTTGGGCATTCAAACAATAGGAAACACCTCAAACTTCGACCTTTTTATTTTTTCTAGTCCAAGCTTGCTTCTACATTTTGTTCAAAAAAGAAAAGAAAAAAAGAAAATCTCAACACGAACTAACTGAAAAATGCTTCCTCACTGTCCAAAGCTTTTAAAATTGGTATCTTCCACTATTGCTTAACATATAATCTATATGATGATTCACTAAAGTATTCTGTGCCTTCCAAAACCATCCCATGTTGTATGACTGACTTTCCAAATTTAAGTCCTATGAGGAACCAGAAGATGTGATTTTTCCAACCATTAAAGTAAGGGAAAACTAAAGGAGAGGAGAGCTACAGATAACTAAAACTTCACTTCCCAATGCAGCTTCAACCTTTTTCCTAACTGCATCTGATATGATACTTGCTGTTTTCTGTGCATTAGGGCTGCGAACGAACCGAGCTGCTCGCGAGTCGAGCTCGAGCTTGCTCAAGTCAAACTCGAGCTCAAAATATTAAGCTTGTTAGATCGCGAGCAAAGTATATATATATATATATATATATATTTTTTTTTAATAGTATATATATTTTTTTATTTTTTTAATAGTATATATATTTTTTTATTTTTTATTTTAATAGTAAAATTACATATATATCCTTAATATTTTATTATTTATTAAGAAAAAATATTATTTCATTTATTTTTTTAAAAATAAAATAATTATTTTTTATTTTTTTGAGCTCGAGCTCGAGCTTTAAATTGTCAGCTCATCGAGCTCGAGCTCGAGTTCGAGTTCAATAAAAATAAGTTAAGGCTCGCCTTGATTAGACCAAAACTCGACTCGGCTCGGCTCGTTTGCAGCCATACTCTGCATTAACACTACTTCAAAAACAATTCACAGAACCACAGGAACATTGAGTTTTGAGCTCAAATAAGCAAAAGGTTCTTAATTCATTATGGTTACTGAGGCTAAGGAAGATTATGTGGCAGCATTTTGTTACGGAAGGTTGGCACATACATGATAATGCTAACCTCCCACAAAACATTGAAAACAATTTTTCTTGTCTTTCACTGCTTCTGTCTATATATGATATCCTTCTTTCCCCAATCCTGAGGGAAGTGTTCTAAAAAACTTCAACACTAACTGAAGGATGGCTAATGAATAGCAGTGAATCAAGAAATATTGAACAAAGATTATAGATTACAGCACATTTCTCTCTAATGTAATAACTGAAAAGTGCTTTCAACAGACACCATTACAACTAGAAACATGCCAATAACAACTAAACCATACGTACACAGAAAGGCATAGGTAATCCTAGGAAAAGACAATAAATTTACAAAAGCTTCAAATATAACTCGCAATTAAGCAGAGCAATGGAAAGCAACAAAAAACAGTAAAGCTTTCTCTTATGTTGCCATGTTTTTTAACATCAGCAAAACCATCACACTAACCAATTGCAAGCCAAAAAATTCTAAACAGAACATACTACGCTCTTTTTCTATGTCACAATAATGTCATAGTTTGAATGAATAGAATTTCCTTAGCATGCGCCAAGTTCAGAGGAATGGAACATGCAGATAGAATAGTTTTTCGTCACCTTAAGGATGATGATTTAACATGAGTAAAACCAATACTGATTTTGACATACCCAGGTAATTTTTACAAATAAATAGACCCTAGTGCAAGTAAAAACATTGTCCCAGATAAAGAAGTATCATAGCCAACTTTTTACTCCGCATTCATGTATTTTGGAAGGCAATCAGAAAATACTCTTTGTCAACACGGTGCTAGGTGTCAAATAATGCTAGTTGCATTTGTGCAAATAAGGAGATTTTCCCTTCGAATGCTAAAAATAAAGCAAGAGAAATATGCTGAATGAACATCTGGTTCTGAGAACAAATAAAAGTGAAAAAAAATAAGGACAACAATGACCTGAATTTCCTCAATGAGAGCATCAAGGCCTGCATCTTCACCAAAATTAACATCATTTTGAGTTTCCTGATAAAGAGCATAACTTCAGTTAGTTAGACGAAAAGAAACAACGTAAAGGAAAAATGTGCCTCCCACACATGTATAAAAACTCAATAAAGCATGTATATCCCTGTCTAATGCAGGTTGCAAGGATGGGATAGTTCCAGGTACAGACCTTTAGGCTTGCAAGATGGCCTTTAGCTATCAAGGATAACTCGTCTTGTAATTTAGAATAGAAATCCATGAAAATTTGCAGCTTTAGTTTGCCTGAGCTTGTCTGATGCACATCTTCATTTCCAGAAAGAGAAGTCCCCTTATTAGCTTCATTTTGAAAGACAGCATCCTTAAATTCCCAAGAACTGTTATCAACATCTTCAGCAGCAGGTACTAGATTAGAACCAGAGAAAGAGTCTGACAGATGCAACCCATTTACAACTGGGTTTTGCATTGAGCTGACAGAAGAAATTGGCCCAGCTTGGCTGTATAAGTTTGATATAAGATCATTGATAGAGATAGCTGATTTTGTACTATGGCTGTTTCCCTTAGAAGAAGCAGATTGAAACATGAAACTATCATCAGCATTCAAGGAACCATCAGTTTCCAGTTCTTCATCACCAAATATGGACAAGGGCAATGCACCTTTATGATTCTCCAATTCAATGGCATTTTCCTAAAAGACATACAAATTTGATGTCAAACCTAACAAATTTCAGAAAGCTACAGAAGATATCGCATTTATGTAAGTTTTTTAATCAGATTATAAATTACCAATATGGACATTACCATCATTTGCAGGTATTTAAAGTTCAGTGTGGAAAATTACTAGTCTCGAACTCCCACTACACCAAACACTAAGAAAATACACCTGTTCAAATATCATCCTAAAGCAGATCTTTGATTGCTTGAGCTTCATTACCTGTTTCACAAGTGCATTTTCTTCAAATGCTGACCTGAACTCGCTAACTGGCTCACCAGATACAGCATTTTGAATCACAGTAGAATTGTCCTGCAGGTCTACACCATCTGTGAGTTCACTTCTTGAGAATGCATCAAGTTTAGATGCTTCACGTTTAACAATTATGCTAGGCTTTATATCAAAACCACCACCAACTTGACTGAAGTCACCAAAAGTTAGATTTGATGGCGCAAATAAGTCAACTGCTCCATCAGACGCAGAAAAGAAATCAAGTGATCCATTTGAGCCACTTGTAAAACCCGACAAGGATGCATTGATCCTAGAGCTCTCACGCACCTCAGAATCAGCCTTTCAGAAAAAAAAAGATCCAAAGTTAGCTCAACAAACCAATTATAAGTAGTCTGGGAAACCATACAGAATAGAGTAAATTAATTTGAACATAGCCAACTAATAATGTCTTATAAAGCTCAAAGACCAACTTTTTAACCTACATCTGCTTTACTTTTTATTTTTCTGTTTTTTTTGGGTGCTACTTTACTAATCAAAAAGTGAGATATCCCATCAAATCAACCACCTCAGCATCACTTGTGGTAATTACTGAATTAGACTAAGAAATATAATCCATGTTTAACTCTCCCCAGAGTGAAACATGAACTCTCAAGCACTAGTATAGCTTCCATAAATACAATCTACAAACAGGTTGACTGTTAACTGACCTCTTGCAGTAGTCCAGCTCCGGCAAATGCAGCCGTGAAATCCCCAAAATCCTCATCAGATTCAGCAGTTTCAGCGACTGGGTGAGGGTATAGCACAGCCTCGTGGCCTTTCTGATCAATTCTTAGGCATGTATCTGGAGCTAAAGCATTACCTTTGGCTGCAATCGACTTGATATTCGATCCAATATCAAAGCTGTTAGATTTACTGGAAGCTCCACTTGGTGTAGACAACATATCACGAAATCCATTTGACATAGTAAACAAATCAATTGATCTGTTAGTGCCATTTGCACTACCAGACGAGTGTGAGTTTTCCTCCCAAACTTCTTGCACCTCTAATCTAGCCTTCACAGAGAAGAAATCCCAGGTTTAGATCAATCAATGACATATGCCAGTTAGCAAACAAATAGGGATATTTCATCATAAAACCTAGGCAATTTTTCATACAGTAGTTAGCTTTCAGTTTAGAGCAATTCAAAATCCAAGTTTTGTAGTTAAGAGTTTCACTCTTTCTGATGTAACTTGTCATGTAACATAAGGACTACAGAACTTGAAAGTTCCAAGGTATCACACAGAATTTCTTGTCCAACTACTAGTGAATTGTGGATCCTGACAGCACTAACGCCACAGGCTCCTTATATATTTCAAAAGAATTAATCAAGGATGTTTATGCGCTAAACAATATAGATGACCAAAAAATAGCAGTCCAAGGATTTACCTTCTCATTCCCCATCTTAACTTTTGATTCTGCGTATGCATCCTTGAACTCCCATCCATCAGCATCAGCATCATCATCATCCTCACCACCAACAAGTTCTTCATGTCCACCCTTAAAATCAGAGCCCATATTAGCCACCCCGTTTACATTTGAACTCAATCCCTCCAAACTTGACTCCATACCAGATGAATTCAATTTAAATCCATCCAAATTTGAATTCCACCAGCTAAAAGGTGGATTCTCAGTATCTTTTACAGCCAAGTCAATATAATTTAAACGAGACTGAGCATTGTCATTTTCAGCTTTACCATCCAAATTTCTATCGTTCAAATCATATTTAATATCCAAGTCCAAGCTAGACTTTGAACCCAGTCCATTAAAACCAGTATTCCACCCACCAAAATCCAGGTCTAATGCATCCAAACGCAATTGTACTCCGTTAGAACTAGCATTAACCCCATCCTCAGTCTTCATTTCTTGATTCTTACTATCGTTATGACTACTCAAATTCATAAAAGAATCATTATCACTCTTCCTAGCCAGTGATTCTGATTCCAAATTCAAACCATTCAGCATCAAGCTCGAATCTTTCTTGCTCAAATTCAAATCCGAATTCTGATTATACAAACTTGCGATGACATCATAACCAATCGACCCACCTAAATAACCGTTACTCTTAAATCCATTACTAAAAGTATCATTCTTCTTCAGATCAAATTTCGAGTCCTTACCATTAGTACCATGCGGATCACTCACACCAGATCCCTCCACTTCTTCTTCCTTCTCTTCCTCTTCAACATCACCAAATATCGACAGTGGAATAGCCCCTTTCAGCTTCACCCACTGGCTCTCCTTCTTCTCCTCCTCCAATTGGACCCCACCAGATTCTGACCGGGATTGAGTAATGGGGTTTGCCGCGAAGAAATTAAAAGGGTCGAAAGGCTTTGCTGCCGGGGTGTTAATGGAGGACGCATTAGATCCAAGTGGGCTTTCAACAAAATCACCCCATTCATCATCGTCGTCGCCATTGGCGGCTGCAGAGGTGGCGGACGTCGTCGTGGTGGCCATTGTGAATCTTGGGGCGTTGATTTGGTTCAATTGTTGATGATTGGTAGATGGATTATTGTTGAAGGTCGCAAACGTAAAGTCTCCAAAGCTATCGTCGTCGTCGTCCTCCGCCATCTTCGAAGGACTGGTGTGGAGACCCTTTTCTACTTCCGTCCTTTTGATTTCGTTTCTTGGTCGATCGATCGGATTTTCCACTAGTGGAATTTTAGCACTAGTTTGAGAAGAAAGCGCTCTTTTTAGTGCGAATTTTGTTGACGTTGGTCTGGTCCAACCATAGGGTGTCGGCTCCAAAAAGCAATTAGTGGGAGTATTTAATTTCCTAATGCATGTTTAGTGGTATTTATTTATTTTTTATAATACTATTGTAAATATGTTTTCTGATCACTTTTTTATTTTTTCAACTAATTTTTTTATCTCACTTGTATCATATTACGAAAATGTTATAATATTTTAAATATTATAATAATTATTTTAAATAATATTAAATATTTCAAATAACCTCTTATCCGAACACACTCTATTAAGACTTGTTCATGTATGATTATTCATTGAAATCTAGGTTGGATATATTTAGTTTTATGATTTTCTTGTTTACTTTTGCATATAGGTGTTAGATTGTAAATTTTATAGTATATATTAAAATAGTTAAAATCCACGATCAAAGAGTAGTTTGAGGTTTGAACTGGTGTGATTATTCTCTAAATTCACCCTTCACAACCAACTTTTGCAAAATCATCGAAAACAAGCACTCAAATTTTTAGGAAAGTGAAATTAGATCAACAAGACGGGTAAAATACGAATATGAGTATATGTATTTAAATCAAAACTTGATTATACTAAGCAGTTTGTTTAGTTAAAAGTACAAAATTGATAGACTTGGGATAAACAAATTATCCGAAATTAGAATATATAACTGAGTGAAATAATCAATTGAGAACAAGGCATCCATTATTTACTCACTAGGAAAAAAATTGAATTTTTCTCTTTATGATGATTTCTTTTATTTGATCTATTGGGAATTAACCATTTTTTTTAGTGGTTTCAAATCTATAGTTGATATCTTAAGAAAATCTTCTAATGGATCGTTAGCTTTATAGCAATTATCGTATAAAACCATAAGATGTTTTGTATTACCTTCTACAAAACTCATAATTTGATATGATTTCGATCTTAATTGAATAGCACTCAAAATTATTTCTAGAAGAAACTATGGTATTTTATTAATAGCCAATCTGTTAATTTTATATAAGGTGAATTTATGACTGATGATTTGTTCAGGTTTAATTCCATTCAAGATATGAAGCGCTTGAGGGATAATAATGTTGTGAATTTTGTTAACCCGTACTTGCCAAAAGAGAACTATGAGTGGTACACATAAAACCTACACTCACAATTTGATCGCATGAGGGTGTCCAAAAGAGCATAAATGTATAGGAGCATGCATGTTTAAACAATTTGGTATTTTTGAAACTCTTTCCCTATTCGCATTTTGTGCATAGTTTTTTTTGTTATATAAGAATAGTTTGATGGTAGTTTGTTTTTAGGATCTTAGCTAACTTTGATGACAAATCAATGATTGGATTAAGTTTTTCAGGTTTCTAACTATGACCTCGAGATGTTACATTAAAAAAAAAAAAGTGTTAGTGATGGTTCCATTTTTGCATTCTTTTTATAATGGCAAGATTTCGCAGTTATATATACAAAATTATAGTTCTTTGATCCTTTTCCTCTTTTTTTTGTTTGAGATAGCAAGTCAAAAAAAAAAAATTGTAATTCATTTACCGGATGTCAAGTAATGGTGCAATGGAGCAGTTCAAATTCAAACTTTTTGGTGTGGTAGAAATTAAAAAAATAATAATAACAACTTTGTGCATTATAACGATGTGAACATGCTCCTCTTTCTGAGAATTTTTAAAAGAAAATTTATCAACAACTGAGGTTTAAGGTCACTAACATAATTCCTCAAGTACAGCTTTGTTTAGAATGTTAAGATGCTTGTAATTGTTGATTAACAGCTTGATCAGTATACATGTTGGATTTTTACACTTTCATCATTGCCTTTGCAATTCCCAGTACCTTTCTCCACTTTTTTTTTTTATCTTTTCTTTTTATTATACTACAAAAATATGTTAGTAAAATCAAGTTAGAAAGTCAATATATCACGCTTAATTTCTGAACAATGTGGTAAAGTTTCTGAATTAGATTTTAGTTTTGTGGGATTCCACATTTCCACTGCAGCACGTTCAGAATTTTTTTAAGTATACTCGTCGAAGTCATATAATCATTTGTATGATGTTGGTTCCTAACAATCCTTGGCTAAGTATTGTTCTAAAGTGCTTCTTACCTGACAGAACCAATCTGGCAATTTGTTTACTCCATTTGCTCTCTTTTCCTTCTGTCTGTTAATTTGATAGATGTTCAACTTAAATGGTTACCTATACAAGGCTCCGATAATTAAATTAACCAAATAATAGGTCCATTGAGAAATGAGAATCAAGCTTTGAGAATGTGTTCTTGTTTGGGGGGAGAAGCACAATGGAATTTAGAGAAATCGGTGAAACTGAAAACACATATAATTGTACGTTGATGGGAGGTAAGGTTTGAATTCTTAACCTTCCACCTTATTAAGACTTGATGGTTGACCACCGCTCAAAGGGCCGTCGGTTACTTTGACCAGTTGATAAACCTAATTACAACATCAGCGAACAAAACAAATCACCATGGCAAACAAATTTCCTTTTATATCTTTTTCTTCTTGTACACATTTACAATCCGAGAGATGTAAACAATCAGATCAATGCCCCCAAAAAAAAAAAAAAAACTCCATTCTAGCTCTCCAAAGCAACCACAAGTCTGAGTTAACCTGAACTAAAAAGGTCTCAGTTCAGTCCACCAAAGGGGTAAAAAATGTAGGTCAATTCTGCCAATTTAAGCCCCCATTCATCGACATGGTTCGAGGCCTAAATTGGCACAAGATGTATCAAATAGTGTATTGAAACTTCTTTAGTTTGAGTAACTTAGTTGAAAATTTTGGCTACTTTGAAGAACAAATGGGGAATTAAGCCATTTGTTCAGGCATGCTAAATTTTAATAAATCCATTAAGGGCACATTATTAATTTTTTATCCTCAAGTATACGAAGCTATGTATCATGTATCATGTTCTCCATGCAATCATGTTGAACCAATTTCAAGAAGGTAGAGTATTGAATGGTTTAGATATTTAGAATTTTTGTACTAAATAATATACGACTTATGCAACAAAATCAAATTAAAAAGGACATACGACTTATACGGCAGAAATGCGACTTATACAATAAAATAAAATTGAAAAGGACACATGACCCCATTTGCTTTAGAAGTCAAGTCAGAGGAGACAACATCAAGTTGATGACAGTACACCATGCATTCCAAACTTGTAAGGTAACCACTTATGGGTGCAAAAATTCCTTCCAAAGCGTGGCTTCTCGGTAAATCCAATAGCAGAACTCTTCTTTTTTTTTTTTTTTCGACACAGGTGTCAGAACTCAAGTTGGCCAGTATTTCTCAAATTGATGCACAATCATTATTATCTTTGACATGAAAAGAAAGGCTCTCTTTGACAGCAATCCAACATCCCAATAACTCATTGAAATGATTTACTAGATTAATCCAAGTTTTCTTCCCTTAAATGATGAGTTAATAAACTACTCTTCAATTTTGCCGATTGGACAAAACGAATTAATTCATTAGCTCCTTTTGCAGACATTTCACAAAGAAACCTAATTCACCATCTTATGGTAATAAAACTCGCCCGGGTTTACACTTTTATACAACCAATTTACATGAACAGACATCTTCAATACAACACAATAATGCAAGCAAATAGTTGTGGACTACACACAGAAACCACTTATGATGCACTTACCTACAAGATATGACATCTTGGTTCGTGACATAAACAACAAAAGATGCAAGAAGAGCCCTAATATATATATATATATATATATATATATAGGAAAAGTATGAAGTAACGATCGTTATGGTAACGAAACTATTTTTACCTAATATAACAGGTAAAAAACACTTTTAACGACCATTTGATTATCTATTGAACTGGTGGTCACTTAAATAAAATAGTACCTAAATTTTGGTTAGTAAGTTTTACATAAAAAATAGTAAGTTAACTCGATAAATTAGTAACTTTTATGTCTCAAAAAGTAAATTGGAATAAATATGGAACTTGCTTTTTTTTTGAAGTAAATTACTACTCTATATCTGAAACTTACTTTTTGGAGAGTATGTTTAGTTTAAGTAATAGTAAGTTTTTTATAAATTAATATTGTTGATAGAATAGTAAATTTGGTTAGTGGTCAAAACCTACTAGTTTGTAGTATGAATTTACTATTTTACTTAAAAAACTTATATGAAACAAGTATTAGGA